TCCCTGTTTATGATTCAGACCCCGTTCTTCTCGGGGGAAGCTAACTGGCCGTTTAAATGTCCCTCTGGTACTAGTGCCTATGGGCACCCAGCCCACCCTCTCGAGCCTCCACCGCACTTCTCACCTGTTGGGATGTGTGAGAGTCGAATCCACTGTCTGTCCGCAGCTCCAAGGCTCCTCTCCCACTATCATTCCATTGTTTTCCAGGTGATTACTCCACTATTTAGTCACTATTCCAGTTTGGTCTTGGGAGGAGGTCAGCGTGACTCCCATTCACTCTGCCATCTTCTCTCTCTGAGCCAAGTTTTTTATTTTAGATCTTAGATGATACAGACAGGATACATGTAAATTTAAACCTGGATCATGGCCAAAGATTATCAGTGCTTGTTATCTTTTGTTCAGTGGAAGCCAATTTCACTTAATAGTGCTAAATGAGGATACTAATAAATCATTTTAGCAACTAGTAAATTATACAATTGTCATTGAGAAAGAATGGCAGAAATTAAGTGGTTCATTCTTCTGAATATTTTTCTGAAAACTTGTTTCCAAGTTAGTTACATTTTAATAATAAAACTATCTACCAAATAACTCTGGTTGTGTGACAGTAAAGATTGGGATTTACCAATATGACACTTTTCAGACATATTGCCGTCTATGTTGTCCATTTAGATTTGTTATATGCCATTTTAATCTTAGAAATACATCTCCAAAGGACACCAAGAAGACAAAAAAGGACTATAAAGCTTGTAAAAACAATGTCTTTTTGTGCCTTATGCCTCCCAAACACATGATTCTAAGCAATTAAGCATGTGATAATGCAGTCTATTAGTATGTACAAACCTTGATGTTTGGGCATTAGGGGTAAATCCATGTTTTATAGGGCTTGAAACTTATATCATTTGACTTCTTATAAAAAAGAACTTTACATTTCAAGTACAATTAGGTACTGGAAAGGACATGTAAGTAAGTGGCAATGAAGTTTAAACTTCATCAACTTTGTAATAAATTAACCTCTGCATCTGGCACATTGTAAACAGCCCATAATTATAAAATTATTTTTTATTAACAGCTGTTGATTAAGTTTGAAGTCAGGATGAGTGGCAGGGTATGACTACTCTGTTGGCCTCTTGCAGTGAGTGTCTTTAATGTGGTATGGTTTAACAGTACCTTAGCCTTAGTTAGTCTTGATCAGCTTTTCTTAATGACCTTTATTCCTGTATGTGCTGGTCTATTCAGGTAAAACACATAAAAATGTAATATAAAGTCAAGTAGCTTTTATTTTTTAATTTGTTTGGAATATGGCCATTTCTCAGAGGTATATGAACACATTTAATTGTATACATCAAACATTTAAACTAAATTCGAACACTAAGATTATCTAAAAATTTAAAAATAAATGGAGTCCAAGGATAACCAATTGTGAAGTGATCAAACAGTAGATACTATATATATGTCTTATATCAGACCCTGAAGGGTTATGAACTCTGTCAAACCAAGAGGCAAGGAATGACAGAGATACACAGTCTACTGCATTTTGTTAAGACCATGTTCAGATACCTCCTTTTATTACACTTTCCTTTACTGCACTGCCTGATACTGTGTTTTATACAAATTAAAGGCTGTGGCAATCCTGCATGGAGCAAGTCTACTGTCACCATTTTCCCAGCAGCATTTGCTCACTTCATGTCTGTGTCACATTTTGGTAATTCTCTGAATATTTCAAACTTTTCATTATTATTATATTTCTTATGGTCGTCTGTCATCAGTGATCTTTTTTGTAGGTTTATTCATGCATTTATTATTTTTAATTATTTTTTTCAATTACAGTGTGATCTTTGATGTAACTACTGTAATTGTTTTGGGGCACCACGAAAATACACCCAAATACGGTACCAAACTTAGTGAATGTGGTGTATGTTCTTACTGCTCTGTCAACTGGTGATTACCCTGTCTTTCTCCCTCTGCTTAGGCCTCCCTATTTCTTGAGACACAACAATATTGAAATCAGTCCACGTAGTAATCCTCCAGTGGCCTTTAAGTGTTCAAGTAAAAGAGGAGTTGTATGTCTCAAACTTTAAATCAAAAGCTAGAAATCATTAAGCTCAGTGAGGAAGGCATATCAAAAGCTGATATAGGCTGAAAGCTAAGCCTTGTATGTCAGTTAGCCATGTTGTGAATGCAAAGAAAAAGTTCTTGAAGGAAAAGAAAATGCTACTCTGGTGAACCATATTGTATGGATATGTTTTTCTTTGGTTTTTATGTCTGCATTACCAGTGTCATATAATCTTAATGTTAACTAGAGTCAGTTTTAGATATTTAGAGTCAGATTTAGATATATGACTGTTTTTACATATAAATTTTAAGATCTACTTGTAAGTCCTATTAAAACCTTGAAGGGATTTTGATTGGAATTCTACCAATTTTCACAGTTTGATTGGGATCTGAATTGATACCTTTATTATGTATAGTCTTTCCAGCATAAGTAGGTATATGTTTAAATTTTAATCAGATTGGCAATTTTTTTTATATGTATTGTATATCTTTTGCTTCTTTTCAGTGAAGAATCACATGGAAATATTGCCATTGAGAAAAATAGAAAAAAGCCACCTAACTTATTTTATAAGCATAGTATAACCTTGATAGCAGTCAAGCTCAAGTGAAGTCATAGACTTTTCTTAATTATGAACACAGATACAAAATTCTTAAATAAAATACTCACAAATTGAATACAGTAATGTATGTTAATTATTACTAGTTTCTTTATTAAATAGAAGGATCTGTTATGAAAGTATGATACTCTGGATTAAAACAAAGAACATGATTATTTCAATTGATATATATCATTGCTTCAAATTTTTCATTTTTATAAGTTACGTTATCATCACCAATCTTGGACATACAGTGTCACATCATTTCCTTAGGAAGATTTCCCAAAAGAATATTTATGCAAATTTTAAATTCTGATATGTTGTTAAAATGTAGAATTGGGAATCTTTTCCTACAAAGGGCCAGATGGCAAATATTGCAGGCTTATGGGACAGGAGGAAAAATTGAAGTTACAAAGGTACCTGTATATAACAAGAAAGAAAATATTTTCATATGTCTTTACTGATGAAATTAAAATATAATAACTGAATATGATTGTTGTAAGACAGGTCTATAAATATGAATATGGAAATTGGTGGGGGTAACATTTCTATTTGGGTTGCAAGTTAATGTTCCTTATCAAAATCTATTGCAAATGTTCATCTATTAATGCTGATCTATGATGAGATCTTACATATTTCATTGCTGCAAATTTCTTTCTTCAAAGACAGACCCTGAAATATATTGATATCAACCTATAATAAGTCATGTTTTTAGAACTCTGTTAGCCTCTTGGCATGCATTACATTGCAAATTAATCACTTCTAATTAAAGTTCTTCAATTGCACTGTTAAATAGACTTTGGAATATGGAAATTTCTTTGTACCTGCATCAAGTTTGAGAAACTCCCCCGTGGGATTGAAATCAGAAAATACATTGCTAGGAATTTGTGTAGAAATGGAGATCTCACTTTAACTTTTGACAGTGCTAGAAATGTATCACAGCCTGACATTACTTGTAAGTCAAACCTTAGTTCTCATTGAAATATCAGTGTAAGTTTCACATATAAGTAGTTTTGCCACAATAGTTTTAGGTTGAAACATTTTCAAATCTGCAGCATAAGCTTATTCAGAAGCCATGCAGAGGTAAATATAAGAGCACGGTTCTTCAGCAATTTAAAAATACAAACACCATTCTTAACTCGGACTGTACCAAAGGCAGCTATATTTAGCCTATAGGCCAGTTTATCAATCGCTTCTTCATAAATTCTTATATTCTCATTAAATGTAAGTGCCTGTCTCTTCACAGACTTTGCAATCACTAAATATTAACTTTAAAGTTTAATTGAAATTACATTTTTCAACTTTTGAGTATTAGTAAAATAAAATATCATTTCATGATTATAGGCTACTTACATATCTTCATTGTAAACTGACTTCATATTCTTCTTCCATTTTTATTGCAGTAAAATTTTCATTCCAGTAATCATTCTGTGTACCAAAGGAGTTCTAAGTCCTTTTTTGTGCCTTTACCCACTTGTTTATTATTTTCCACTAGTTTTCCCCCACACATCCAATACCTCTTTCACATAGAAAGACCTGCAATTGCCTAACAGAACTGTTTTCTCAGGTTTTCTACATATATGGACTGTATCTTTCATTCCCTCTCACCTTTGCTCCATTCCCTCTCCTACTGAAACTCTTATTTATCCTTCAAGACTCAGATCAAGGATTAGTTAGTTCCTCCTCTTTCACTCAGTTATCACTCTGGAAATATTGCCATAAAACCCATCACACTATTATATAGTTAATTAACTGTCATTTACAGTGGTCTGTCTCCCCACAGGGCTCAAAGCTGCTTGAAATATGGTATTGTAATTGAGCTCTATACTCCAGAAACTGATGGCACTTAGTAGGCAATGGTTTATTGACTGAGTTCAAAAGAATAGTAGTATTAATAATATGAACAGAGTATATTTACCAGATACATTTGTGTAGTTGTATTCCAAAGAGCTGCATTTTGAAGAAGCTTTCTGAGATTTTTCTTCATTAAAACCTCACTAAGGAAAATAGTAATTAAGGTTTTTATTCCCTGATAAGGCTGAGTATGTCAAACATTTTATTTTTTTTGTTTGACATACTCAAACAAAATAAAAGGTTTTATTGTCTTTTTCCCTAAAGAATTAAAATAACTTCTTTAAATAATTGCCATTAGTTATATCTGTACTCTCTGTTTCAAGAAAATTTGCTTATACTGGAATGAAAACAGAATTAAAATGAAAAAAATAAAAGAATATTCATCGGCCATGTCTGCTTTGTAATCTGAACAATAAGTTCTTTCTTTCAAAATATCTTCTTTGTAACTTGACCAAGATTCATTTTGGATTAATCTTTTATTTTGCTTTATTTCCAAAGGACATCCATTACCTTGCACTAGATAAGGGTGAATTGGCACTAGCTGAAGTGGCAAGAAAAAGAGCTAGCAACATTGATGCAGAATCAATCACCACTGGAGTTGGTAAGAATTCATGCTGGTTTTTTTAAAGTGCTTTTTGTTTTAATCAATACTTTTTTGAGTATCATTTCTGTTTATGTTTTTAGGGCATGGTTGCTTAATCTGAATTACTTTCTTTGTAAAGACAATGTCTTTTTTAAAAAGTTAAGCATGGATAAGTAGTACAATATAAATATATAAGTTGGAATTGTGTTATTATGAAAATTGATGATCAGTGATTAATCACTACTTAGCAAAAAGTAAGAAGGACTTTGTTCTTTTCATAAGATTTCATAATGGAATTAGGAAAGAGTATGTAATTTCCTCATCATAGTCTCTTCTTTACAGCCCAAATCATACTGAGAAAGCTAATTTTCTCTTGGATTTCCTAAATTTAATTCAACCGTGTCTCTCAAGTTTTTTCAGAAGCAGAAAGTAATTAAGCCTTGGCTTTCAAAGGGATTCATTGATGAAAGCAAGAGAGCAAATTATGTAAGATATCAAAAGAGTATTTAATTGTATATATGTTCCGTATCTTCTTTATCCAATCCTCTATTGGAAGTTTTGGTTGTTTCCATATCTTGGCCACATATGGGGTAATGGAAGATGATTTGACTTTGGGTGGTGCACACAATGCAATGTACAGATCATGTATCATGTAAAAGGTACACTTGAAATCTATATAATTTTATTAGCCAAAGTCACCCAAATAAATTTAATTAATTAAAAATAAAAATAATAAAAATAAAAGTAAAAACATACCAGAATAATCAGAACAGATGTGTCATTAACAGTAACCATGTCAAGAGTGATGATGATTTGAAAGAGTATTATTAAGCTGCTGTACAGGTGCTGACCACAAGAACTGGAAGTCACTTCAGCTGGGTCTGGTGCCTGGTGAGATCTCCCTTTGGATATGCTGATTATGAAACTTATTGGATCCTGCTCTGATGTTTTCTGAAGCTGGCCACTGGATGTGTTGGTTGTGGCCAACTTGGGAGGAATTCTAAAGCAGGCCAATGTCAGATGCTGCCTGTGACTGGCCCTGGGCAATGTGTTTGTAGCTACAAGTGATCCATAGTTTGTGGCTGCCTCTGCTGGGCCTGGGTGCAGGAGGGAACAACCAAGCTGTGCACCAAGGCTGGCTTTTACCAGCTCTGGCCCCAGGTGCAGATCAGCAAAAGTCCCAAGGCACCTCAAGATCTGCCTCTGTCTGCTTCCACCTGCTGGCTGCCTGTTAGGCTCAGTCACTGGAAGAGCCTCTGGCAGCTCAAGTTTCATGAGGTATGTTCTCAGTGATTCATCAGGTTAGCAGCAAGTGGTGCTCATCAAACTGATACAGGCTCAAACTCAGTGCCAGTGCTGTGTCTGAGGCCACTCAGCAAATGTCTCTGTGTATACCAAGTCTAGCTGCAACCCACTGGGTGCTCACACACCTTTGTGTTGGGCCAGAGTCTCAGGGAGTTGCTAGAGTGAGGTCAGCAGAAGTTTAATGAAGCCTCAACAGACCAAGGCTTAGCCATATGAAGGGAAGCCTCTGCTCCAGTCAGGCTTGCGAGGAAAAAATGGCCTCTCTACTAGAGCAACACAACTCTGTCTGTGCCAGATTCTGCTGGAGGAGATAGAGCTCAGCAGGGTGGGGCTGCCGGGAGTCAGATGGATGGGGCTATTGGATCTCCCATGAAGTGGAGCTGCTATTCAGGTTTCAGGGAAGTTGCAGGTTGTGGCACCTGCCTCAGAACCATACAACTCAGTCTGTCCTGGATTTTACTCCAGCCTCCTCAGAGTATAACCACTAGGAATTGAGAAGGTGGGCTCCCAGAGCCCAGAATGTGGGGCAGGTAGATCTCTCATGAGAGGTAAGTACCAGTCAGGTTCATGGGAAAGTGGATAAATTGGTCCCCACCCCAAAGCCACGTAACTCACTGACAACCCATGTGTCTCCCCAGACCTCTGTACCCTGGCCAAGTAATACTGTACCCTGCAGTGTTTTATCTTCTCTTATGGCTGTACCCTGTACCCTGGCTGAGTGGACTCCTCAGCAGGGCAAAAGCTCTGCAGTGTGGGGCAAGAGGGAGTCCAGAGGGTAGGGCTACTATTTCTTCCCAAGCTGATGCCACAGGGAGGGGAGTACTCCAGCCAAGAAAGATGGTGTCTGCAGTGTGGGAGAGTGACTCAGCACAGGGACCCCAGTGGCTGTCCCTTCTGCTCTCTCCCATAAACGCCAGACCCTCCTCCCATGACTTTAATTCACCCCACCTCTGCCAGAGCCCAGGGTGAATGGCTGCAAATGAAATTTTCTTGCATTGGCCCTTTAAGAGGGTATCTGTGTCTCTAACAGACTCCTCTCTTTCTCTCTAACAGACAAGAGCCCCTCTACTTTTCACAGCCAGACGTTTTGTGGGTGCATCTTTCCAGCTCTGGTGCTCTCAGCTGGGGGACCTGGGTTGGGGTTGAGTCACCACGCTTTTCAGGGGGAGCCTCCAACAGCTGAGATGTCCCTCCAGAACTACAGCTGCCACTTTTGTGAGTGGGGTCAGCCCTTTTCACATCTCTGCCCTTCCTTCCAGTCTCAATGTGATTTATTCTGTAAATCCTTGGTTATAAGACTTATCTTCAGCTAGTCTTCAGTTGGTTATTCAGGATGACTGTTCTATAATTTAGTTGTAATTCCAGTTTAGTCCTGGGAGACTATGAGTGTAGCTTCCACCTAGTTGGCCACTATCTTGGATTCTCTATTTGTTGCCCTTTTGATAATAGCCAACTTGAAGGGTGTGAGGTGATCTCTCATAATTTTTAAAAATTAATTTAATGAACCCTGGTTAATAAGATTACATAGGTTTCAAGTATAAATTTTTATGATACATGATTTGTATATTGCATTCTGTGCCCACCGCCCAATCAAATCATCTTCTATCACCATATGTTGTCCCCCTTTTCCATTTACACCCCTCTACATGCGTTCCCTCTGCTACCCACCATAGTGTTGTGTGTGTCTGTGAGTTTTAGTTTTACATCCCACGTATGAGTGAAATCATGTGGTTCTTGACTTTTTCTGTCTGACTTATTTCACTTAGCATAATTTTCTCAAGATCTATCCATATTGTTGCAAATGGCAGTGTTTTATCTTCTCTTATGACTGAGCAGTATTCTCTATCCACTCATCTGTCAAAGTACATTTCAGTTATTTCCATGTCTTGGCCACCATGAACAGTGCTCTAATGAACATAGGGTTGCATATATTTTTAAGAATAAATAAATTTTTCAGGTAGATACCCAGAAGAGGGGTTGCTTGGTCGTAGGTAACTCTATTCTGAGTTTTTTGAGGAACCTCTACTGTTTGCCATAGTAGCTGTACCACTTCACATTCCTCCCGGTAGTGAATGAGGGTTACCTTTTCTCTATAACCTCTCCAACGCTTACTCTTAGCCTTGTTGATAATAGTCATTCTAACAGGAGTAAGGTGGTATCTCCCTCTGGTTTTGATTTGCATTTCCCTAACAGCTGGTGAAGTTGAACAATGTCTGTTGGCCATTTGTATGACTTCATGGGTGAAATGCCTGTCCAGGTTCTCTGCCCATTTTTTAATTGGATTGTTTGCTTTATTGTTGTTTAGTTGTATGAGTTCTTTATATATTTTGGATGTTAACCTCTTGTGAAGCTGTTGTTTGCAGATATCTTCTCCTATTCAGTTGGTTGCCTTTTTGCTTTGTTGATGGTTTATTTTACTGTGTGGAAGCTTTTTAATATTGTGTTACATTCATTTATTTTTGCCTTATTTCCCATGCCTTTAGGCTCAAATTCATAAAATATTCTCTAAGGCCAAGGTCCATAGTTTAATACCTGCATTTTCTTCTGTGTAATTTATTGTTTTAGATTTTATATTTAGGTCTTTGATCCATTTTAAATTAATTTTTATACATAGAGACAAATTGTAATCTAGTTTCATTGTTTTGCAGGTGGCTTTCCAATTTTCCCAGCACCATTTATTGAAGGGGTTTTCTTTTCAACATTGCGTGTTTCTGGCTCCTTTGTCCAAAATTATTTGCCCATATACATGTGGTTTTATTTCTGATCTCTCAATTCTGTTCATTGGTTTTTATGCCAATACCATGCTATTTTGATTATTGTTGCTCTGTAATATAATTTCAAGTCAGGTAGTGTGATACCTCTAGCTTTGTTTTTTTTCCTCAGGATTGCTTTGGCTATTCGGGTTCTTTTGTGGTACCATACAAATCTGGTAATTTTTTGTCCTATTTCTTTAAAAAAAGTCATTGGTATTTTGATTCTGATTGCATTAAATCTGTATATTGCTTTGTGTCATGTGGACATTTTAACTACGTTAATTCTTCCAATCCATAAACTCAAGATATCTTTTCTATTTCATTGTGTCTTTTTTGATCTTTTAATAATGCTTTGTAATTTTCAGTATATATTCTTCACATTCTTTGTAAACTTTATTCCTAGGTACTTTATTCTTTCTTTTTGTTGCATTGCAAATGGAATTATTTTTCATTTCATTTTCTGAAATTTCATTGTTAATATACAGGAAAGCTGTGGATTTTTGTAATTGATTTTTGTGTCCCACAACTTTAGTATTTATTTATTGTTTTTGTTTTTGTTGAGTCTTTAGGGTTTTCTATATAATGAATCATGTCATCTGCAAAAAGTGACACTTTTACTTCTTCATTCCCAATTTGGATGCCTTTTAATTCCTTCTCTCATCTGATTGCTCTGGCTTGGACTTCTTGGCATTTCCCTGTTGCTTAGGGATGTTGAGCATCTTTTCATGTACTGATTGACCATCTGTAGGTCTTCTTTGGAAAAATGTCTATTAAGATCTTGTGTCCACTTTTTAATTGGATTGTTTGGTGTTTTTTTATTTTGAGTTATTTGAGTTCTTTATATAGTTTGAATATTAACCCCTTATCAGATAGATCATTTACAAATATATTATCCTATTCAGTAGGTTGCCTTTTCATGATGATGGTTTCCTTTGTTGTGCAAAAACTTTGTAATGTAAT